CATCAGTATGCTGATGATACTCAGCTGTACATCTCCACCCCGAACCACCCCAATGATGCCCTTGATGTGATGTCCCGGTGCCTGGAGGCCGTGCGGATCTGGATGGGGAGAAACAGGCTCAAACTCAACCTCTCCAAGACTGAGTGGCTGTGGCTTCCAGCGGCCTGGTATAGTCAGCTGGCACCATCGCTGACTATTGGGGGTGAAACCTTGGCCCCCACAAAGAGGGCTCGCAACTTGGGTGTTCTCCTGGATGCACAGCTGTCTTTGGAAGATCATATGACGGCCGTGGCCAGGGGAGCTTTTTATCGGGTTCACCTGGTACACCAGTTGCGTCCCTTTCTGGACTGGGATGCCTTGCGCACAGTCACTCATGCCCTTGTCACGTCCCGTCTGGACTACTGCAACACACTCTACATGGGGCTCCCTCTATTTCCCCAGGCGAACTTGCAGGAATGTATTCACCGGCTGAGCTCTTTGCCTTGCGAGACTCCCCCCTCTCGCAAGCCTGGCCTTCCATGTTATCGAAGGCCTACCTCGATGAAGGGCTTTGGAACCCAGAGAGGTGGCATGTCGCGAAGAGGGGATTGAGGGGTTTTTTATATAAAGTTTTAGCAAATGTCTTAAGGGGTTCCGGGGGGGGGGGAGGGTTGGATCAGAAGTAAGGCCGTGGGTATGGGGGATAACCCACTAAGGGGAGGGCCAGGTAAGGCTGTGGAGCACGGCATGGAGGGTGGGGGGCCCGGGGTCAAGAGGGGGGATAAAGTTCATCCAGATAAGGTTTTTACCATCAGTACTGTGGGCAGGAGGGGTAGATATGGCGGGAGCAGGGGGCCATATCGTGTTAGGGGAGCGCGCGCCCGCTGTCTTCGAGCGGTGGCGCGCTCCGGCCCCCAAATCTCCACTCGTTTTCCAGGTGGCGCAGATCCTCAGGGCCCTGGCCTCCGTCTGATGTTATGCAATGCCAGGTCTGTAGTAAATAAAGCCCCCCTCATTTGTGATCTTGTTCAGGAGGGGGGAGCGGACCTGGCAGGTATTACGGAAACCTGGTTGGGCCAAGAGGGGGGGGGTCCCTCTTGTTGAAATGTGCCCACCAGGTTTCCGCGCATTCCATCAGCCGAGGTTGCAGGGTAGGGGCGGAGGGGTAGCGGTTATTATTAACGAAGGTCTGAGACCGAGGGAGGCCACTGTTCCTCAGACGGCCGGCTGTGAATCCCTCCTTGTGAAATGGGGCCACGGGGTTCAGTTGGGTTTGCTGATCACATACCTGGCTCCCTGCCATGTGGCAGCAGCCCTGCCCGAGCTACTCAGTGTCATCGCCACAGTGGCGGTTGAGACCCCTAGGCTTATGGTCATGGGGGATTTCAACTTGCCGTCCGTTGGTGAGGCATCTGAAGTGGCTCGGGAGTTCATGGCTTCCATGACAGCCATGAACCTGACCCAGTTAATTCATGGCCCTACCCACACGGGGGGAAACACGCTGGATCTTGTTTTTGTCTCTGGACAGTGGTTGAGTGATCTCGAGATAGGGGATATAGTCACCGAGCCCTTGTCATGGTCTGATCACTCTCTCCTTCGTCTCGACCTTCGAACCGCTACACCCCGCCGCAGGGAGGCGGAGCCGGTAAGATGGTTCCGCCCCAGGCGCCTGATGGAACCGGATAGGTTCCAGATGGAGCTTGGGCCATTCCCTGAGGATCTGGCACACGCCTCGACTGGAGACCTAGTGGCCGCCTGGGATAGGGCGGCCGCTGGAGCTCTGGATCGGGTCGTGCCTTTGCGGCCTCTGACCCGGCGCCGATCTCATTTAGCTCCTTGGTTCACTGAGGAGCTGAGGGAGTTGAAGCGCCGGAAAAGACGCCTAGAGAGTAGTTGGAGGGCCAGTCTTTCTGAATCTGACCGGACACTGGTAAGAGCCCATATTAGGAATTACCTAGTGGCGATAAAAGCAGCGAAATGTAGCTATTTTGCTGCTCTTATTACGTCATCAGATAATCGCCCGGCCGCCCTGTTTAGGGTGACCCGCTCCCTGCTCCACCAGGAAGCGCGGGAGGACCCCTTAGAAGGTAGAGCCGAGGATTTTGTTCAATAGCCTTGAACAACCTTGAACAGCCTTGGTACTACAGTGGTTTAAAGCACCCTGTTATTAACACAGCTGCCTGCAATTTACTGCTGGTTCGAATCTCTCCAAGGCTCAAGGTTGACTCAGCCTTCCATCCTTTCTAAGGTAGGTTAAATGAGGACCCAGTTTGTGGGGGCAATAAGCTGACTTTGTATAAATATACAAAAGTATGAAGGCTATTGCTTAACGCACTGTAAGCCGCCCTGAGTCTCCGGAGAAGGGCGGCATATAAATCAAATTAAAAAAAATAAAATAAATATCTGTATGACAAAATCGCTCAGATTCGGGAAGATCTGGACTCCGACTGGATAGTCTCAGGGGGAGGGACTGGGGCAGGTCTTGAGAATGTTATCTGGGATGAGTTTGATCCTGTGACCCGAGGACGTGGACAGGATTCTGGGTAGACTGAACGCGACCACTTGTTTATTGGACCCGTGTCCCTCCTGGTTAGTGCTGGCTTCTCGGGAGGTGACACGAGGCTGGTTCCAGGGGATTATAAATGCTTCGCTGGGTGAGGGTGTCTTTCCTGCCGCCTTGAAAGAGGCGGTGGTGAGGCCTCTCCTCAAGAAGCCTTCCCTGGGCCCGGCAATGTTGATAAATTATCGTCCGGTCTCCAACCTTCGTTTTGTGGCGAAGGTTGTTGAGAGTGTGGTTGCGCAACAGCTCCCCCAGCACCTGGATGAAACGACGTATCTGGATCCGTTCCAGTCGGGCTTCAGGCCCGGGTACAGCGCGGAAACAGCATCGGTCGCGTTGGTTGATGATCTCTGGAGGGCTCGGGACAGGGGGTGCTCCTCTGTCCTGGTCCTGTTAGATCTCTCAGCGGCTTTTGATACCATCGACCATGGTATCATGCTGCACCGGTTGGAAGAGTTAGGGGTGGGAGGCACTGTGTTGCGGTGGTTCTCCTCCTTTCTCTCTGACCGGTCGCAGTCTGTGTTGACAGGGGGACAGAGGTCGACCCCGAGGCCCCTCATATGTGGGGTGCCGCAAGGGTCGGTCCTCTCACCTCTCCTGTTCAACATTTATGTGAAGCCGCTGGGCGAGATCATCCGTGGTTTCGGGGTGGAGTACCATCAGTACGCTGACGACACCCAGCTGTACATCTCCACCCCGGATCACCCCAACGATGCCCTTGAAGTGATGTCCCGGTGCCTGGAGGCCGTACGGATCTGGATGGGGAGGAACAGGCTCAGGCTCAACCCATCCAAGACCGAGTGGCTGTGGTTTCCGACGTCCCGATATAGCCAGTTGACGCCATCACTGACTATTGGGGGCGAATCACTGGCCCCCACGGAGAGGGCTCGCAACTTGGGCGTCCTCCTGGATTCACGGCTGTCTTTAGAAGAGCACTTGACGGCCGTGACCGGGAGGATTTTTTATCAGGTCCGCCTGATTCGCCAGTTGCGTCCCTTTCTGGATCGGGACTCGTTACGCACGGTCACTCATGCCCTCGTCACCTCCCGCCTGGACTATTGTAATGCTCTCTACATGGGGCTCCCCTTGAGGAGCACCCGGAGGCTCCAACTGGCGCAGAGTGCGGCCGCGCGGGTGGTAATGGGAGCGACATGGCGCTCCCATGTAACACCTCTCCTGCGCGAGCTGCACTGGCTCCCGGTGGTCTTCTGGGTGCGCTTCAAGGTTTTGGTTACCACCTTTAAAGCGCTCCATGGCTTAGGGCCTGGTTATTTACGGGACCGCCTACTACCACCAATAGCCTCCCACCGGCCAGTACGCTCTCATAGAGAGGGACTCCTCCGGGTGCCGTCAGCCAAACAGTGTCGACTGGCGGCCCCTAGGGGGAGAGCCTTCTCTGTGGGGGCACCTACCATCTGGAATGAGCTCCCCCCGGAGATACGGAGGATCCCGGATCTGCGCTCCTTCCGCCGTGCTGTGAAGACCTTTTTATTCCATCAAGCGGGCTTGGCCTGATCTCTTCCCTTTTTAAATACGTAAATTTTAATCTGTTTTTAAATTATTGGGGCATTTTAATTTGTCTGGGCCAAATAATTTAATTTGATTTTATCGGGTTTTTAAATTTTGTGTATTTATGTATTTTATTGTTGGCTGTTCACCGCCCTGAGTCCTTCGGGAGTAGGGCGGTATACAAATCAAATAAACCTAAACCTAAACCTAAACCTTGAAGAACACTCGGAGGCTCCAGCTGGTCCAGAATGCGGCCGCGCGGGTGATTATGGGTGCAACTCGGCGTACCCATGTAACACCCCTCCTGCGTGAGCTGCACTGGCTTCCGTTGGTCTTCCAAGTGCGATTCAAGGTGTTGGTTACCACCTTTAAAGCGCTCCATGGCTTAGGACCGGGGTATATATGAGACCGCCTTCTGCCAGCAACAATCCCCCACCGGCCAATACCCTCCCACAGAGAGGGGCTCCTCAGGGTGCCATCAGCCAAACAATGCCGACTGGCGACACCCAGGTGGAGAGCCTTCTCTGTGGGGGCACCAGCCCTTTGGAATGAGCTGCCACTAGAGCTTCATCTTAGCCCCGACCTGCGCACTTTTCGCCGCGCCCTTAAGACCCTTCTGTTTCAGCAAGCCAGACTGGCCTAATATGAATTTTAAATGGGTGTATGTGTGTTTTAAATTAATGGCCAAATTTTATATATCTGATTTTAATTGGTTTTATATTTTATAAATTCATGTGTTTTAACATGGCTGTACACCGCCCTGAGTCCCTTGGGAGAAGGGCGGTATAGAAATTTAATAAAACTTAAACTTAAACTTTCCAAGGCCCTCCTATGAACATTCTAATGGATGAATACATTGCATAATATAATTATATGCTGAGCATATTAAAGACACTTCCAAAACCAGTGGATTAAAACTGAATAAGCAAGAACCAGGAGCTGAAATACATACCTTGTTAATATGTAACTGCTGCTGTTGAAATTGTTGTTTGTGTTTTTCCAAGAACTGCTGATGTTGTTGTTGGATCACCAATTGTTGGAGGGCCTGTGCATTCTGGGGAAGGGGAGCAGACTGGGTGCGCCCCAGAGGACGGTGCTGCCGCAGTTTGTGTATTGAGGGAGACAGTCTATCAGCACCCACAAGAGATTGTGCATGGAGAGGGAGTGTCCCTAGTCCTGAAAGATGCCAGTTAGAAGGTAATAGGTAGAAAACCAGAGGAGAAGAAAAAAGAACAGAAGAGGAAGGAGAATCTTGTAAATAATTATTTCCATCATAGCAACATGATTTTTTCATTTACTTGCTAACATTTATATCCCAAGCAATTCCAGACTCCAAGTAGCTAATATAAGTTAAAACTTATAAAATAAACATGAAAATATAAATATAATTATTACAATAAAAACAAGAAATGATGAAAATATACAAGTATTAAAAACAATCCACGATGCCATTCTTAATCTCTAACTGGCTCTTTAAAAATCAGACCTTGTGGTTGTAAAAATGAGGGAGGATTAAGCTAGTCTCTGTGTCCTTTTTCTAATTTACCAGTTTTTAAACAAAATTAACCTAAGATAAAGAATTCTATACATGTCTATATTCAGCGGTGAAATGCACCTTGGCTACCAGTTCGGGAGTGTGAGCATGCGCATGCACTCGCTATGCTTGTGCTTCTTCTGTGCATGCGCAGAGCCTTCTGCGCATGCACAGAGGGTAAAAAATGGGACATAATGACGTCCTGGCGGGTGGGCGGAGCCTCCCACCGCCAGTGCTGGTTTGCGTGAGCCGAATAGAACCACTGTCTATATTCCAATTTGTGACCTACCCTATATAAAATAAAGAAAGCACCTTTACCTGAGACCAATGGATTTTGTGCAGTTGACTGTTCCAGTAAAACCATGTGTTGAAGAAGAGGGCTGTGTGTTGATCCCCCTTCTCTATCCACTGCTGTACTGTTCAAATAAGGAGTGATATGGGTGCCAGGAAATATGGAGATTCGTTGTTGTAATGATGGAATAGTAAGTCTTTCAGAATCTTGCTGTCCTGATCCACCCTGCAAGCATATAGTATTACTGAATTTAAAAAGTGATCTATGAATGAAGTTAAGGTAATGACTCCGTTTTAAATTATACAATACCACTTACAGTGCATGGGGCTGCTGCCGGTAGTCCTAAGGTTATATTAGGCAATGAGGGAGAAGTGTACAATGGAAGCTGTGTTATTGAACTTTCATGATTAACCAGTCTATGAGCCAAGGTGGTCTGAAAGAGAGCCAAAAATCCTGCCTCAGAATAATAAGATTATATAAAAAACAAATACATCATGTGTAATCATTATTTGTAGAAGCTTAAGGTATATTCTTTGGGAGAGGAGAGTCAAAAAAATTTAGAGGAGGTCTATCAATGGTATCAATTAATATAGTATACAGTATTAATCAGAGTCAAGAGTTTCTTTTATTCATCAAGTACTGAAGCAGATGTGAACTCTGCTCAATATAAATTGTAAGTAACAACAGGAAAATGGGAAATGAAACATTTTCTTCCACTGCTACAGGGCTGTCAAATTCCTGGCCCATAGGCCAGATGCGTCATGCACTGGCCATGTCCACACTTGGTTTAGCAAAGGGGAAAATAGTCCCGATACGTCACGTTTTATTTTTATTCCAGCAAACCGGCCTGGCCTAATTTTTCTCCCCTTTCTTTTAAATTTTAAATTGCAATTTTAATTTGTTTTAAATTTATTGGGATTTTAATTGTCGTGGGCCAATACTATTTAATTTGGTTTTAAATTGTTTTTAACTTTTGTATTTCTGTATTTTATCCTGTGCCTGTTCACCGCCCTGAGTCCTTCGGGAGTAGGGCGGTATACAAATTTAATAAAACCTAAACCAAACCTAAACGTGACGCCGCTGGGACGCCATGAGTTTGACACCCCTGCACTACTACAAGAAGGCCTTAGTGACAACAAAGCTAACTCAAGTAGGAGATCTTACTAAAAATGAAGAGCATACCAGGCTGCTCTGCTATTATTTAAGAGCACAGATATTGATTTTATTATGGGATTAAATTTATTACTCTGACTATCTAATTGGAATGTTAAATCAATGGGGGAATAACAGAAACCTCCCACTTTTACAGAAGGACAAATGTCAGCCTCCGCCTTTTCTGCTTTGGCTGCCATAATAACAGGAGGGGGTGAGCTAGGTAGAATGGGGGGGGAAGCGTGCTGGAGGAAAACAAAACCAATAGTTAAGCCACCGGACTGTATCTTTGAAGCTGCCGTCGGGCCAACGGTCGTGGCATTCCTGATTGATGATGCTGCCAGACGTGTGCTTCCACCTGACCCCTGGGAGACCTATGGATTGGATGATTTACGGTGGACAGTGGGAGGGGATGCTTTCTATATGCAATTTTCGCGCGTATTGCTTTAGATTCTGCTTTCCTTTGGTTGCGTTCACTTCATCTTCTAGTAAAAGTACCTTTCTCTATAAACAATGGAGTTTGGGTCATTCTTTCCTGGACTTTGAAGGAAGCACACCTGACACAAGGCTCAATGAAAGAAGGATATTGAAAATGTAAGCCTTATTCTATCAATTATTATCAATGTATAAAGGGAAGTTAAAGGAAATGAACAATGGAAACAACAAATGGAATTCCTGGTTATCAAACTGACTGCAGCATTGTAATTTAATTTCACCATTTAAAAAAGATGTGAACATTTTCCTTCTACTGGAAAAATCCATTAAGCTCAATTGAACATGACTATATTATATTCCATCTTCCTCTCAAAAACTAAGAGGGACTCTGTAGAAAATCAAATCTAAAGAGGAAATGGTCCGTTGGAGCAGGGATCCCCAACCCCCAGTCCGTGGACTGGCACCAGTCCATGGCATGCCAGCAACCGGTCCATGCAAACAAGTGAAGCATCATCCGCGGGATGCAGGCAGCATGCAAAACCATGTCCCCTCCGGTCTGCAGAAAAACCTCTCTGTGGAACTGGTCCCTGGTCCCCAAAAGGTTGGAGGTCATTGCTTTGGAGAAAACAGCACCAGCCCTTAATTCCTGAACCCAAATATGCTTTTTCCAAGGACTGAGCTGCAGTTGAAGAGAACAGCCACTTGGTCCTGGGAAAAGCCACAGTTGCTTCAAAGACTTATCAATAGGTGCTTTGCACAGGCACATGTTCTGAAACACTTTTTCCCTTCAAATGTGATACCTGTATGGTCTTAGTACAACAGCTGATCCCCAACACACAATAAGCCCATGAGATACAGTGATGTAGAGAGAGCATAATATTGTTGAAGAAAAAATCTTCAGAATCAAATTGTTCACTGAGAGACTTGAAATGAAGTGTTCACTGTTGATAGCCACACTGTTTAGGCTACAGATGAATGCTGCTCATTGATTCAATCCCAGGATCTCAGTCAGAAACCAGAAGATAAGTAGCAGGCAGAATATAGAATTGGAGCAATTATTTCATAGCTTGGAAATTTTCATATCAGGATTTTACAAAGAATTATATGTGGTGCTATTGTAGTACTGGAGATAGTTGCCAATTAAATGATACAAAGGAACACAGTTCAAGGAACTGGTATAAGGCTTTAAACTATCTCCAAGTTTAAATCTGTACAGTATGTATATGAAAATCTTTCTCAGATACTCTTCTTTAAATGCTACTATTTAAATGAGACAAGACACTATGGGAAAGAGAATATTTAGAATAACCTATTTTATTTATACAATTCTGACTCCAGAAAAGTTTAGTTGGTACATCCATTATTATTTTTTAAATGCAACAGAAATATTTTCTCAGGCTTTCAGGCTCTTATGAAACCCCCCCTCACACACACACACTTATTCAAATTATTTAGTTGATGTACTAAAAGTTGCTAAGAAGCCTAGCAGATATGCAAGGAACGCTCTCTTAGCATAACTCATCACCAATGGGCACAAATATACTCTATCTGATAACCAGGTTTAAAAGTCAAATGGAAATAAATCTAGATACTCCTCCACCCATTTAAATGCCACCCATTCGTCATGAGGTGACTCTAGGTGGCTTACAACCAAGTAAAAGCAACAAGTCTTAAAATATTAACCGAATAAATATTAACATTAAATTGGCATACAATTTATTTTATTTATTTATTTGAATTTGTTTACCGCCCTACTCCTGAAGGACTCAGGGCGGTGAACAGCCAAATAAAATACATATAATACAAATGTTAAAAAAACCCATTAAAATACAATTAAATAATTGGCCTGGAAAACGAAATTTAAAACACCCCAAATTCATAAGACAAATTTAAAATTTAAAAATTTAAAAATTTTTAAAAAACAGTTTAAAAGAGAGGTTAGGCCAGGCCGGCCTGCTGGAAAAGAAATGTTTTGATGGCACGGCAGAAAGTGCGCAGGTCCGGGATCCTCTGTATCTCCGGGGGGAGTTCGTTCCAGATGGCGGGTGCCCCACAGAGAAGGCTCTCCCCCTGGGGGCCGCCAGTCGACATTGTTTGGCTGATGGCACCCTGAGGAGCCCCTCTCTATGGGAGCGTACTGGTCAGTGAGAGGTTACTGGTGGCAGAAGGCGGTCTCGTAGATACCCCGGTCCTAAGCCATGGAGCGCTCTAAAGGTGGTAACCAAAACCTTGAAGCGCAAAGATTAACAAAAATGGCAAGGAAGGAAGCAAGATGCATATGAGATAGAGTCTTATCTCAGTCTATTAACAATCTCCAATATGACATGCTCCAATTAAAGCTGCAGGCAATTGGCAGAGCCAGATTTTCAAGCCCTTTCAGAAGGCCAAAAGGGTGGGTCCAGATCGCATCTTAGGTGACACAATCTTCCAGAGGGTAGGAGCCATGACAGAAAAGAGTCTTCTGCATCCCACCAACCAGAATTTCTTGGCTGACGGAATCTGCAGCATGCCCTTTCTGCCACAGCAGATGGGCAAGTCATTTGAGGTGAGATGATTCCTCAGGTAACCTGGATCCAATCGAGAATGTATCACTGATTGAACCTACCTGGCAATCACCATCTTTTATCAAGCTTTCACTGGCCAGGAAAGACAGGGATCTAATTGGCAAGTAATTGTACTGATAGAATCGAGGACCCTGCCCACTTCATCAGGTCCAATACAATCAAACTGTTCCCAGCTTCTGGACTCCTCCCCAAGATGGCTGCTGTAGGGTGAGATTTTTTCTTTCTCTTACCCATGATCTGCTATCTTTGTTCCAGAGCTGGCTCTTTGGCAGCCATGTCCACTGGATTTGAATGGGGGCACTTAGGAATGACCCAAGATGACTTTTGGATGGCCATGGATCCACCTTGGAGGGGGAACCTTGAAAATTACTACTCCTTGTGGGAGTAGCTAGAAAGTCAAGGGACTTTTACATCTCTTCCTATGGGCAGAGCATTTTTTAATCAAGCCTGAGACTTTTAACTTCACTTTTTGAACTTTTGTTTTTTTATCTCTAAATGTTAATTGGCTTGTTGATTTATTTCAACCCACTACTGGACTTTATCTTTCTGCTTTCTCTTTGATTTATTTGGTTGCTCTTACCAATTTCTGTATTTCCATAGAGAAACACAAAACACTTTTCTGGATGGTGAAAATATTTATATTTGGACTATATTTTACTGAATATTCACTGTACGGAATCTGCATTTTATTAGCTTGGATCAAAACAGTCAGAAATAATCCTGTTTTTTTAATCCCCTATGCTCTGCTTATCTGCTTCCCTGAGTACAAAATATTGGATTACAAAGAAAAGAAGGGTGGCACTGGGGGTGGGGGATGGGAAGAGACTGCTTAGCAACAGGCAATCTCTAGTCAAATTTATTTTTCAAAGATTTGATGAACTCATAAAGTCTATGGAAAACATTCTGAAGAAAGCAACTCTAAATATTTTAAACTCACAAAAGAAATCTGTTTTCAAAGTAGCAGATGAGTTGGAAAACAATATGTACTCAGAAACAACACAGATTGTGGAAAATCGAAGTCAAGAGGAATGTGACTTTCCAGCAGTAAAGCAGCCAGGAAGAAACATGAATCTAGAAATAACAGAGATGACTTCATATGTCTTTCTGAAGTTCAATCCGGTGTTTTAATATAATAGTAGAAAACTCTCTGGGTGGATAAGTGGCTGTTGTTACTGAGACATGGTCCGATTTCTTGTGAGCCGATGGGTTATAATTTTGTTGCTGCATAGTAGGGTGCCTGTTTGTTCATTTTAAATGCTACCTTTGGGATCGTGCTTGATTT